TTTTTTTATTGAATTACTTAGCTGATGGACATCCAATATGTACCAAAGTGAAGTATACAGGTAAGTTTTTGTACACGGACTAATTAGTTGAATTAAAAAACAAGAAGGTTTTGACAAAAGTGACCCTGTTGTGTCTTCAAAAAAGCACGAAAGTAAACTAGAGTTTGGAAATTATGATTATTAAGACAAAAATAAGTGGCACAAAGCCTTAAAGTTTGGTTATTTTTATACATGTTTCAAACTTATGTCGCTTGTTGATTTAAATAAAGAAACGAGGTGTTATGTGATTAAATGATGAAAATATGAGTAGGTTTTGTGATATTAGTGCTTTAGTTGTTGTATGCCACAACAATGTACTGACTCATCACAAATTACTTGTTATTTGCATTCATGCATGCAGTTAACTATTAAACATTGAAGATTCTTGTGGGTTTACTTAGCAAAACTTATATTATTACAACTTATAAACCAAATTTTATTTTCAAATTAATTAAGGAAGATGCAGCCACTTAAAAGACTTGAAACTTAATTTGAGTATGAATTTTAGATGGTCAAAGTATCTGCTAAAATTGAGCTCCTAGGATAAGCATGTGAAGAATCTGATGAATTTCTTTTGCAGATAAAATCTGGGCCTGTAGAGTCCATTATCTTTCGGCATTAAATTTGAGAAGGATCAACCACTTCAGGATGAACTCCTGACAACTCTTCACTTGCAGTCACCTTATCCTTCGCTTTCTGGGATCCGAATTACGTCCAACTCTGTGATACTGTAAAATGACCCCAGCCAAACAGGCACCTTGTTTCTGCCCATTAAGTTTGTAGTTTCTTCATGCAGAGAAAATTGAACCTGTTCCTGTCTTGCAATGTAATAAGCTCAGTGAATAGGAATTATATTGTTTCCAAGTATCAGATACCAGAACTACCAAAATAGTTGGTAATTCCAGATGGGCCAGATATGGAGGAGCATGTGAAAGCCAATTCTTATGACTAGATAAGAATGAAGTTCTCTAGCAAGTTGAAAGAGAATTATCCCAGTTTAAATGCTACTAGGGTTGCTGATAACTTTATGGAGGAAAATCTGCATTATGTTAATAGCAGTGACCAAATAATGAAAAAAAAAGAAGGATTATGTACTCAAAAATTGAAGAAATCCTTGGAGTGTTCACTGAACGATTTTGATAGTCATGCTGATGCTGCAGTTAAGCATGGAGAGAAACTTAAGAACAATCATGCAGTTGTCAACTCACATGACAGACAAGGCAAATCAATTTCTGCAATGCTAGCTCCAGCAGTGCCCAAAAAGCTCTGGGATGGATTACTTCATCTAAGTTCCTCCATAACCGTGTCTGCTGTTGCCTTCTTTAAAAGGTCCATACACACACTTGAAACATTCAATTTCAATTAGATACACTTAGTCATTGTTTTTGTTTCTTTTCTTAGTTTTATGGTTGCAGGTTCAATCCTTTGGTGAATTGAATGTCATTAGCATTGCTTATTGTTTTATGTTAAATGATTTACTGAGCAATTGGAAAAAAAAAAAAAAAATTATTGGATACGAAGAACTGTAGAAAGTTGCAGAGAATGGAGAACTTGTATTGATACTAGTAATGAAAAAAGAGAAAGAATACCTGTACAAATCCTAATAAGAAGACTTTTCGGTGAAAATCCTATTCGTGGCTCTTTAACTTCTCAATTGGATGGAATGAATTCCCAACATTCTGTCAAATCAATTAATCTGGTTTTCTTTATTATGAAAGAAAGGGATGTAAAACCTTCTGTACTGCTTACTAGTGTAAATTGAAGATAAGCAGCACGTGATGTAATTTTCGTTTTGGAAAGACATTAATTAGCTGGTGAAGTTAATTGTACTTCTTAGAAGATGTAGGCTTCCTTCTGGCTGTTTAAACTTTTGGGTATCTGGATCCAAGGAGTTTGCATGGCAAACAAGTAGTTGAAAGGCTATAACAAGCAAAATTTGAACGAGTATGGTATTTTGCCGTTCCCAATGCTTTTGTGGTATTAGTGTGTTTCCTATAGTTCTTAGCTTATAAAGTTTGTGCGAATCTACTGCTTTATATCTAGCTCATCATCTATAGCTATAAAAAATAGTTGGTTTCAAGGTGAATACTGCATTATAAATCACATTTTAGCACCATAATGTTAACATGTTTGACCTAATCTGGTAGACAACACAAACAAAGAAAATGGCTGGTTGGGAAACCATAAACAAGTGCATTTAGGTACTCCAAATAATAGTGATGGAGTAAAATGCTTAACAGTGAAAAAGGAAGAAGAGAACATGAACTTAGTTACTTTTGAATATTTTTTGCAAAGCCCTAAGTGAGGGTGTTCGGTATTTCGTTGTGGCCTAGTTTTGCTGGTCTGTTGGTAGATCAGTGGGAGCAGGAGCAAAGTCCTTGTAGCGTGGTGCAGTTGTTTGGTCTAGGGTGTGTTGTAAAGGAAAACTCTAGTTATAAGAGAGAGTTAGATCTTCGGGATAAAAAATTGCAGGTGACTGATGAATATAAGCATACTAGAACCACGTGAAATTCTCAGTGTTCTAATTTTTTTTTTCTTGCTTTTGCTTCGTTCTTCATATGTTCTTTTAGTATATTAACTACATTTCATTTTGGACCTAGGGTAATGCAACTAAGCAAGTGTGATCTCCTTCATTTATTAAGTAAGAAATGAATGTTTACATTTGTAATTCTACTGATCATAGATTTGATATTGAAGATGCTTTTACCCTAAGCTATATATTGCAAAATAAGGAGAATTACTTGTGGCAAAAACAAAAAAAGTAAAGAAGTGTCTTTGTGACATGCTTCGTATGTTCTCCACTCTTCTTTCCCTCAGTTTTGAGAGATATTCTCCTCATGGTTTGTTAATGGAGTAATTTTGTCGTCACTACCTTAAAGAATGCATGCCCTAGATCTGGTTGACTTGAGCCTGAAATGTCTTTCTTTTTTGAACTTTTTAACGAATGTTTTATATGGAAAAACTTAAGACATCTTTTGATGTAGAAACATTGGAATGCTTAATAGTTCAACATATGATAAATTTTTGGTGCTTTTGAATTTTCTGGTTTCAGTGTTATATGAAATTTTGGTTATATTACATCATTACATCTATTGTTTAATGTTTACATGTTGTTAACATGTCCACCATGTTAGGATTCCTTGTGCAATATGGATTGATTTGGATCCTTGATCATTTCTCTAGGCAATATTATTTTGGTCTGATTAACAACTGTTGGACTGTTGAGCTTGTTTTCCTAATTTCATGCTGAGGCATATGCCTTTTCCTATTTATTTGTGTCAAAACTTTAGACGGAGTTATTTTTTTCTTCTGCTTTTGATCATAATTACATCTTTTGTAATTATTATCCTTCTTGAGCTCAGAACCATACCATTTGTTACACCTTAATTATTTGCCCCTCTCTGGGGTGAAAAAAACAGTTTTCCTAATAACTTTTTATGCTGCTTAGCCTTGTCAGAAAATAAATATTTTATATACAGGATAAACAAGGCAACAAATGGGAAGAAAAAAAGAACTAATCTCAGTACTTAGGCGGCTTCTTCTTGATCAGTTTATTTTTTTTTAAAAAATAGAGGTGCTATGTATACAGCATTTCCTAGTTTTGTGTGTGTGTATATAATCTTTGGGATGAATCAGAGACCAATAAAGAAATATCAATTCAGGCTTCAGATACTAATTAGTAAATTGTGGCACTACGCTCTTTATTTTATTTTACCATTCAAGAAATCTTTTATAATGTAAAGATTTTGAATGACAACTACTAGCTCAATAAGATGAAGTCATAAATCATGCTTTTATGTTGGAAAATCTTTAAATTAACTAACATCTTTACCCTATAGGAAGTGTATAACTGATAACTGGAGGAGGAGATGGTTTACGCACACTATAAAGTGGTAATTTGTGTTCACTCAGATCCTCCTGCGTAAATAACAGACTATCAGCTGAATAATTCTCAAAAGTCGACTAGAATATCGGGCAATCTTCATATATGAAAACTGAAATAAGAAGTATGACCAAATATTTAATAGCTTCAAAGTCAGCTTGCTTTGTGGACTTGAAGGAATTTGCTGAATTGCTGTAAAATTTCAGAAAAGGAAAATCTGAAGCTCAAGTTTTCACCCAAATGGTCTGTTGCAAATTAAGGGAAAAAAAGAAATCTTTCTAAGATGAAAAGAATCACAACAAGGAATACTTTCAAATATCTGCTCTTACAAACTCCAATTCCTTATGATATAAGACCTATAGTAAATCTCTCAAAGGTTGGAAAAGCTTACAAGATGGCAAAACAGGAGAGAATGGGAACCGGACCCAGCGATTATTCTTCTTACAAGCATGAAGCACACTGATAAAGGGAACTTGACCCTATCTTAAGTTGGCACTTATAATAGAAATAGTCTCAGATTATATTATTTGCATCATGCATTCAGAGGGGTTGTAGTAATTGTTGTTTGTTAACAACTTGCCTTTGATGACTTTGTCATGCAGCGGTGACAAGATGCCAGATGTCAATTGGTCTGATTCTGTTGAAGTTAAAGGAAAAGTTAAACTAGAGGCTTTTGAAAAATTTATTCAAGATCTTCCTCGCTCACGCAATCGAAGACTGATGGTATGAATCAGTTTCTATAATTGGTAGGTAATTCAATCTAGTGTTTGATTCATCTTGGAAAAGGGCATTTGAGATCTTCCTTGTGTAAGTGAGATTTTCAGTTGGTAAGTGCTTTTAGGCAATATCTTGATATTCATTGAAAGAACTCCAGAACAAGAAAATCTGATCCTTTTACTTAAATTCCTTTTCTAATAGAAAGTTCATTTCTTTTTTGACATATATATATATATATATATATCTTGTTGTAGATCCCATTAAATGTGCAAAAAACCCTGGGAGTTAAACTCTCACCCTCTTAGTAAGTTGGCTTGCTTTAGGCCCCTCGGGGATGGGGTGGGAGAGAGTAAATTGTACTTCATTTGACTGGCAGACAAGTCCTTGTAAAGATTTGAGTTGTTAACTGAAGTTTATATGGTATGAAATATCATACCAGCATTAGAAAGATGTAAAAAGTTGCTTGATGAAGATAATTTAGGTACTGTATGCATGATTATTTTTCTATGAGACATGCCAGCTTGTACTTGTTTGAAGGCAGTCTTTTTAGGAGATAAACTTCAGCCAATTTTGCGGCCTTATTTTAAAGGCAGATGCAATTTTTCTTCAATAGGTGATCTTCTTTCTTTTTTCAGAGAGAGAAGGTAGTAACCTTTTTGTTAGATTAAAAGAAATTATGTTTACTTGGTGAGTCCAACAATTTCACTGTTTCTGTTTTTTGCTGAATGGGTAATCTCTGACCAGGCATGTAGAAATAATGTTAGGAATTTGAACAAATGTGCTGCATCTTAAGATTTTGCAGTCTAAAATTTTATCTTCCAAGTTGAGTTCCCTTTTTAGTCGCAAATAAAGGCGCTGATAGTCATATGCTCTAATCTTTAGGTGATCTCACTTTGCTGGAAAGAAGGGTCTTCTAGCACTGGACTGGCAGAGTTGAAAGAGGTGAGTGGAAAGAAGGGTCTCATGTAGATATCACCTTGCATCATGAGAATAAATACAATATATTCACTATCTCTTGTCATTTTAAGTAACAGGTTGCAAAAGGGTATAAAGAAGGAGGGAGAGTTGGGATTGCACAGCTCTCACCAGGTATTGATCTTTACATATGCCCTCGTACTGACACAATAATTACAATCCTTGCAAAACATGGCTTCTTCAAGGGCATGAATGCTGTTGAAGACAACCAAGACTCCTTGGTTGGTTGCGTTGTGTGGCGAAGAAATCAAGCACCTTCTGCTTCTGCTGCAATGAAATCTGATAAAAAAATCCATTCCTCACCAAAGCGGCCTTCAAACTCTGCTTCTGACTCATCTAATAAAAGAGTTAAAAAGAAACATTTGCCCGGCAGAGAACTGGACAATGAATCTGTTGCAACCACATCAGGCACAGCCCTTTATAGTAATGATAGCAGTGGAAATGAAAGCAAGAATGCGAAGACTAGTGAAGTTGACATTGAACTGCAAGGCATTTCTTCTAGTGGTGGTAAATTCTTACCAGCAATGTCAGTCCAGAGCAATTCGTCATCTTTGTCAAGAAGTCTTGTACCTTCCCCATGTTCTCCCTCTACGTCTCTACATGGTGTTGTGGAACAGTCTCTTGAAACGAGAACATTTACAGAGGAGATGTTAGTAATGCAGAAACCTAAAATAAATCTGGAACTTCAAAGACATGAATATAATCTGCCACCTCCCATTATAGAAACACAAGTCTCTACTCCTGATGATGATGATCTTCCTGAATTTGACTTTGGATATGCATGTGGTACTTCTCGAACTTCAATCAGCAAGAGTGTACATGCTGCAATTGTTGACATGGTACATTCTACTGATGGAATGAAGGAAATGGCAGGCATCTTCCCAAAAAAAATGCCAACTCTACTGTC